ACTTTTCCTATATACCCCCTTCCCAAAACATCTTTCATTTGCCCTCTCCTGATATGAAGATGATTTGGGGAAGCTTTCCCTGAATTTTCCAGCCCACAGGGACTTCCTAGAAGTCCTTCCATGAACTCCTGAAACACTGGTTTGCACCATGCACTTAACATAAACAGTGTTATAGTGCTATCTCTCTAATTAAGTCTTTCCCCAAAAACCTTAAAATAGGGTTCTTGAGAGCAAAACGTTATGTCATACTTCTCTATTCCCCAGCATTTAGCTCATTGGACATATATAATAAATGTTAGCTGGTTAGCAATAGCTGTTTTGTACGGCCAAGTGAAAATGCTCAGTAATGTTTTAATTATTCAATATCTTAATTTTAATGGGACATCTAATCTCTCCCTAATATGACTAGCATTGGAGACTTAAGAAACTATTGCAGAGAAGATTTGGGCGTGTACAGTTCTGTGGTCTCTCTGAGGCTGGTTCTCAGTCTTTGTATCACTGGAATAAATATAATGCTTCTTGAAATTTGGCATCTCTTCCTCCTTGGGTGCTTTCTGTTTCCCTTTAAGATGTTAAAAAATACCATTAGAATCAATATTCTTTCTGTGGCTAGTAGTGGAACTGAATCAATCTTTCTCCCCTGGTTTCTCTTCCTTTAACGACAGATAAAGAGGAAGTGCAGAGGAAGCGGCAGAAGCTCATGCCCAATTTCTCAGATAGTTTTGGCGGCGGCGGTGGTGCCGGGGCTGGAGGCGGAGGCATGTATGGCAGTGGCGGTGGAGGAGGGGGTGCTGGAAGCACGGGTCCAGGTATGAAACCAGTGTATTCTTTCTAAAGTTTTTTCACATAGGAGAGTGGTGAATTTTCTTTTCCTAGATTTTCCAGCTTGTCTGTGGGTAGAGTTAACATTTTGATATATTCTCTCTTTTTTTCTTTTCTTTTTTTTTTTTTTTTGGCATACTTATTTTGGTATTCTTTTGAAATATTGAAAATTACAGAAAATTTGAAAATACATAAAATCCTGCCATAGAAGGTTAACTACTTCTAATTTTTTTCATGCATGCATTATAGTATATATTAATGCATTTTCCCCAAGTACAGTTTTTCATATCCTCATTATGTGCAGTATTTTAATCCATTTGTTTGTATTAGCTATTTATTATCATCACATTATGATTGTGTATAGAGAGGTTTTATGCTGCTTTTCCCTAACGGGTTGCTATAAGCATTTCCCCATGGTAATTTAAGCTTTACATAAGCATAATTTTTAATCATCATTTTAATGACTCATAATATTTCATGTGAACAAACCATAATATAACTTACTTGACTATTTTTTCCTGCTTTTTTTATGTAAAATACTATACTCAACTCTTCTATCCACATGGCTTTTCTTTTTCTCCAGATTGTTTTTTAATTAGATTATTCGAAGTAAAATTACTGTGCTAGTATAACATCTGATACCAGCTGCTTTCCCAAAGTTTTACCAGTTTATGCTTCTACCAAAAATATGTGAGAAAGAATGAAGGTAGCCATGTTTCCTTTGAGGAGTCAGTATATTTTTCTATATTTCATTTGGTTAAGTTTTTTCCTCCAGAAATTGTTTTCCTGTCTTCTGTGTGGGCAAGTCTGAGTCTGGGTGGTGACCGCTCATCATTAGCCTCTCCCCACTACGGATGTGGGAGATTATTTTCTCTAGAATGGTCTCCGGTGGGCTCCCTTAGGCTGCCCCAAGCCTGGAAGTTGTCTGAGATGCCCAGGTGTAAACTTTACCTGAGGGGAGTTCTGATCATCCATGATGCATCTTACTAACTGTTAACAGAAGCACCGCATGGGCACACTGCCCTCCCACACCACAGCCTGTGCTCACCTAAGATTGCTGAGTCTTTGTAAAAGAAACCATAGTGAGGGTTCCTTTGTTTTACTTGCCGTTTCAGGATATGGCTTCCCTCACTATGGCTTTCCTACATATGGAGGAATTACCTTCCATCCTGGAACCACTAAATCTAATGCTGGAATGAAGCATGGTAAGTAATAATTTTTTGTTTTAATACTGAGGAACAAAAAGGTTTTTCATTCATTATCACAATGACATTATCATCTTGAAAAAAATTGATGAATGCAAATAAACTAAGATACTTTTTGAAAAAAATATTTCCTGGGGAAAGTATAAATTCTACTCTTGATGCTACATTTATGCTTATATATTTACTTCGTAAATGGCATGAACGAGGAAAAGAAAAGAACATTAAAAGGGGACAAACAGAAACTTGACTATTCAAACAAAAAACAAGTCACCAAATTTACCTATTCTCTCTCTTATTTTCTCAACTCTTATACTTTTGAAGACATTTTGAATCTTTTAGGAATGGCCTTTTCCCATCAAATACATCCCCTAATTAGCAGTTGTCACACCAGGTGTTCTTAGTTTATATTACATGTCCATTCTAGTGTACCCATTGAAGAAATAATACGATGAAATCTTCCCTTGTATTGAATGCTTGTTTTTGCATCAACTGCTTTCACGTGTTTTAACTGTAATCGTCACGATTGCTCTGTAAGGAAAATACTCGTATCTTCATTTGACAGAGAACACCGAGGTTCAGAAATGCTCATTCACTTGCTGAAGGTACATATCTGTTAGTGGCAGGACCAGGATTTGAACCAGGCCTGCCCATGAAACCTAAATGCTCTCATCGTACCTGTCAGAAAACAGTCGCACCTGAAAGAGAATGATCAAAAATGGTACACTGGATCGCTCACACGCTAAAAAATATGAATTGAGATCGTGTCTAACTTGATTAATAAGCATTAGAGGAAAAATATAACTGCTCTGCTTTCAAGAACTTTAAAAATTCTACCTCCCTGTAATTCACAGAAGAGCTTTATTTCATTTTGTCCTTTACAAATAAACAGAATGAGATGTAAGTTTTTTAAAGTGTAAAAAAAACTTTTAACATCTTAAAAGTTCTCATCACAAGAAAAAAAGTTTTGTAACTGTGTATGTTGACAGATATTAACTAGACTTACTGTAGTGATCATTTCACAATACAAACAAATATTGAATCATTATATTGTACACTTGAAATTAATGTCATATGTCAGTTATACCTCAATTTAAAAAAATGTCTTTTAGAAGTGACAATTTAAAATCACTCCAAAACATGTTACTTATGACCATTTTAAAAAGAATTTTAAATTATTGTTTTTCTTTTCCCTTTGTAGTAAATTTGCCTCCTACCTTTATTTGACCTATACTAAAACAGCGAATTATGACTTAAGTAATAGATTTTACTGAAAAAAAAAAAGCTGATGTTTTTGCTTTTCTCTTAGGAACCATAGACACCTCATCTAAAAATGACCCTGAATACTGTGACAAGAGTGATGACAGAAAGGCTGTAAATCTCTCTGGGAAAGTAACCGAAACCACAGAGCAAGATAAGGAGTCCGGCAATTGGGGTGATGAGGCTGCTCTGACGTATACAGTGGGAGTAAAGGAAGAGAACGCTAGGTTTCAGGGTAAGTGAGCACACAGATGATCACGTTGTATCTGTTGGTGATCTGAGGGGATGGGTTGGCTCTAGGTATACAAGTTATTTCTAGAAGACTGGTTTATTTTTTGTTAAACTAAAGATGATATATCAATATCTAGTTCGGTGTGCTCTTCAGACTCCTGTATGCCCTCTGAAAAGCAGGTGTCAGGTCACTTTATTCACACTGGGATTTCCAGCTTCCTAGTGTCATCTTTTAATATAAAGTATAGAAATTTACATATGCGTTCTCCAAATGTAATCATGCAGGATATCGTGAAAGATAACCTAATTCGTTTCTACCACAGATAATAGAGAACAATTTCTATAACTTTAATAGTCTTCCTTTTCTAGACTTTAGCTTGACTGTCATACTAAAGTGGAACTTTGCCTCAAAATAAGAACTTTTCCTTTTATCCCAATGCCTTTTTAAAGGATTAGGATCAGAATTAGGAAGGACAGTGTACCTTTTTGGGTATTTTGAACCAGTACCCATTAGAGTGTATGTCAGGAGCCTAGGTCATCCTAGATTATACTCAAAAGACTTTCTGTAAAGGGAAATAGAGTAAATATTTAGACTTGGCGGCCACATATGGTCTCTATCGCATATATTTTATATCCCTTTAAAAATGTACAAACCATCCTAAGCTACTGGGCCATGTAAAAACAGGCCTTGCACAGGAGCCCACAGGCTCCAATTTGCCTTCCCCTAACCTTCAGGAAGCAAACTTTACAAACACACCAATGGCTCATGGAAAGTCTGCCTGTCTATGGCAGAAACTGGTTTTTGACACTTGGCCTAACAAGAGAGTTGTTCAAGACACCAATGAAGGATTATTTTACCAAGAGATTGATGATTTATAATTATGGCAAAATCCAATCACCATTATTTGGAGATTGATTGTTCTCCTTAAATTAAAATAACAGACATTCCTGAATTTATTTTCCCCTAACAAATCTTAGACAGTTTTTTCCGATCGGCCTCTATACTTGTCAGTGAGCTAGTGTCCAGTTGTGCTTTTTCTAGTGAACACAATCCAGAAGCATTGAAAAGAGGGAGCATTTTCGACTAAAATGATGTGTATCAAGTTATCAGAATACTGATGCTGATGGTTTTGGCCTCAAGCATGCCATACCTGTAGAGCAAATATAGGAAACTCAACTGTGACTATGGTCATTGCCTTGCAGATAACCTCTTTCTAGAGAAGGCTGTGCAGCTTGCCAAGCGGCATGCCAATGCCCTATTTGACTACGCAGTGACAGGAGATGTGAAGATGCTGCTGGCTGTCCAGCGCCATCTCACTACAGTGCAGGATGAGAATGGAGACAGGTAAGTCAGGGCTTCTGCAGATAAGGGTTGTTTTAGGGTAAGGAAGAGAGATAATCATTGTATGCATACTGGCTAGAAAAGAATTGATTAAATTATTGGGTCCTGTAACTGGAACACTCTCTCAAAGAAAATAAGGTGTCAGTAAGGTTGAGTAGCATAATTTTTTCCTCCTGTCCTGTGGCTCTTACCTGTTGGACGCTACAAAAGCTGGAATACTCATCTAAGAGTACAACATTCTGGACAAGAAAACTGAGATATGTGTGGGGAATAATATTTTTTGAAAAGCCTTGCTTTATTTATGGGAATAAAATTTGGAATAATATTTAATAAACAAGTATTTCTTTATTTGAATAATAATATTAGCTTTATTTACTGAAATAATATAATAATAAAGTTTGGTCCTACCAAGTCTTGAAAGCAGTTGTTACTCCAACTGTATATTTGTAATGATATTGTACTCAAGAAAAAGCCCACTAAAGACAACAGAGTCTATGGCCAAACCACCCTGAACTTGTCTGTAGACTTAAAGAAAGAAAGACACAACAACAAAATGATTAAGAGGCAGTTGTCATTCTTTCCCAGTTGCTGGTTCCTTCTCTCCTGCCTCTGTGAATGGTCACCAGTCTGTGAGTGGATCAGACTCATGACCGCCTTAACCCACATTGTGTGAGAGTCTAACATTCCCGACACCATGCCTCCCATT